AGGACCGACCAAGCATCTTCTTCCATCTCCCTGTTACAGAAATCACTGCCATATCCATACAAATTGTACAGAATGTCAGGATAGTTTTCCAGGGACAAATGTTGTCGCCTGTTGAACGAGGTGACCTTGCTCGGGTCCCAGGTGTACGGTTCCTAAAATGGCTGCCATATACACGTCCACTGATAGGAGACGCGGAAGGTATTAAACTGATCAGAACAATACTAAACGCACCACAAATAAGGTTTCTCTCCTGTATGGCTCCTCAAATGATGCTTAAGATTAGAAGCGGCTGAAAAGCATTTCTCACACTCAGAACAAAAATATATTTTTTTAACATTCTCTCCACTTTGAACGAAATGACGTTTGGGAAGAGATTAACTTAATTAAACACAGGCAGTAAAAATACAGTTTTTAGCCATACACTGTAACTTTAAAACTACACATCCCATCTTCATAATTACATATTTGGAATCAGCACACTTAAGACAGCTTATGGCAGAAATCGGCCCGGAAAATGTCAGGGGTTTAAAGTTGGCTGGGAGATTCCTTTATGACCCGACTGCCAGCATACATTTTCCTGCCCAAAACAGTTCCATAGATTTGGGCTGTGGTCGGTCTATTTCAGGCTGAAAAAAAGCATTGACTAAGTCCCATGCTTGAATGGGACTTAGTCTCTACCTTGTGAAGGCTGAAAAAACGACTAAGTCCCATCGCGAATGGGACTTAGTCTCTGCAGCTGAAATAAGGCTGAAAAAAACGGCTGAAAAAGAGACTAAGTCCCATCGCCGAATGGGACTTAGTCTCTGCAGCTGAAATAATTTCCCATTTACTGAACCAAGTGGGAAATAGCAAGGCAGGCACAAAGGGTTTGCACCAGGTCTGGGGACACAGGGGACACCGTCTTAAAGGGGGCGTGTCCCCAACAAGTCTGGGGACACGGCCTTAAAGGGGCAGTGTCCCAATCTTCCTGATGTCCCAAAAAAGGTGTTTAAAGGGCCAGCACCAGTCACATAAAGAGTCCATAAGCCCCAATATGCCCACCGACAGTCTTAAAGGGCCATACACACCAAATAAAAAGTGCATACATTTTCACAATCTCCCAGGGGCCATAGTCATGCGGGAGGAGGCTGGCAAAGAGGCTTCTCCACAACCCAGGGAAACAGGGCAATTTGCCATTTAAAGGGCCCGTTACAAATAGTAGTTTGTAACAAGGTGTCAATCCATATCTGCCAAGTGACCCGATGTAGGGGGAACAGTCCCTATTCTGCTCTGTGTCAGTGTGTATCAAGGGCTCTGAGGACAGGTGTCAATCCATATGTCAAGGTGTCAATATGTCATATGTCAGGTGTGTCGAAATCCATATTATTTGATTGTGATTTAAGATGTTAAGGTGATTTCTGCCTTTATGGGTTAAAACCAGACTCTGTATCAGCTGTGTGGTACTTTCCATGGGAGTTTGCCATGTGGATCCCCTCCGGCATGCCACAGTCCAGGTGTTAGTCCCCTTGAAACAACTTTTCCATCCCTATTGTGGCCAGAAGAGTCCCTGTGTGTTTTAAAATTCGCCTCCCCATTGAAGTCAATGGCGTTTCGGGCGGTTCGCCGGTTCGCGAACATTTGCGGAAGTTCGCGTTCGCCGTTCGCGAACCGAAAATTTCGGGTTCGCGACATCACTAATGCTGGGTGGCCGCCATTCGTATCATGAACACGAGGTCGCGGCCATTTTAAACATGCGAATGCACAGCGGTGTTCGACGCTTAATTCATGGAACTGAAATCGACACAGTTTTGCGCGAATACCCCTGAAGCCGCCCACCTCCCTTCTTGGTCGGTGAAAGTGCACGAATGGCCCGGCGTTCGGTAGTTTTGTTTGAATGTGTGATACCCCAGATAGGAATCCCATGGAGCCCATTCGCATGAAACTGACTGTGTAAAGACTTTAGCTCCATGGCGATTAAACTGTATTTGTGTGGTCTGAGCGCCATTCGCTTAATAATGTGCGCTCAGACCTGAGCTATCTGGGGATATGTTAAATGTATAGTTTTAATGTAATGTGTCTTACATGGTGTATTTTAATAGTAATTCGTGTGTTAGTATCCCCACGTGCATAATGGCGATTTGTCTTTGTCTTGGGAGATAATTGAATTACTTCTCAATTATCTCCAAGGCAGAGGGGAGGAAGCCAGGATGCATTGTGGGAATATATTGT